AATTTACCTAGGCTTAACAAATCCTCATTAAATTTGGTATGAACATGGTATTTGAAATGGGGCTATTTTATATTTCTGTCAATATGTATATGTCAGTCACGTTGAAGAAAATGCAGGTAAACGCTAACATCTAATACAAATTAAATAATCATTTCATAGGAATAAGTACGGTTCAGTTAGCGCTTTGAGTAATCAAAACTTAGTCCTTGTTCGGTATTTCTACTCTTCTTTGATCGTTAATTAATTTTGAATAGTCTTTGGAAGTTCAATTCTTTCATGTCAAAGCAAAGTTCTAATAAACCTAAAAAATTTAGAAAATGTCTTATAATTAGCTAATTAAACAAAAAGATTGTAATATATTATTTTAAAAACAAGATTTATTTAGACAGAAGATATTTTATTACACTGCTTTAATCTTAGACGTTTTATTAATCTTGTTTAATTCGCCAATTCATAACCGATTTTGATGGTTACTTTTCACAATGGTTAGCTTATATTTCTGTATTATATTATAGCTCAATTTATTAATTCCGTATTATTTTTATGTGTATTTAACATCTTTATATTTTTTATTCAACGTTCGATATTTAAAAAAATAAGTTAATTATTAAAATTTCTTCATTGTATCAAAGTTGTAAGAAAATAAAATTAAGAATTTATTAATATAATAATATGGTTATAGTGCCACTGATAAAATACTGATAGAATGCTATAACTATATGTTCCGCTGTCAAGCCGACCAGAATACAACCACTGGGCTCCATAAAATCTCCCAAGAGTGTTATTCGTTAACAATAAGGGTAAGTCGCCACGTCATCTTTTTCTATTATCCACGACCGTGGCAATTTATGGCCGGGTACCTGAATGCCCTTCGCATAACATTGAGAAATAAGGGTAGCATTTTTTTTTATTATGATTTCTGAAACTCGGTATCGACATTTTCAAAGTTCTTGAGTATATATTGATTTTTGGGATCGTTGCGTAGGAGGAGTCCGTTTCTACGCGGTAAGTGTGACCTTGATTACAAGTGCACAATCATTTAGTTGGATGTGAAGTACTTGATAGTATGGAACAGACTCCAAGCAGTCTAAGCTGTTTGGTGTGGAAAGCGAAGTGCCTAGCGCTCAAACCCACCGACGTAGAAAATTTGACTCCTCTTTTGAAAGATATTATATAATTGCATAACAATAGTTTTTATATGATAATTACTTGAGATATAATTATTTAATTATTTCTCAAGCATTTATTTTTACATACCGCGGTCTCAATCAAATTAATCACAGTTTGTTTCATGGGTATGTATTAGATAACTGGCAGATATAATAAAATCTTTCTTTTTTGTAAATACATAGATATACATAAAAAAAACAATTGACAAATTATGTATAATCGAATGTTTTCATTACGCGAATATCAAACCCATAAAATTCAAAAAGAGCGTGGTATTTTGAAGTACTACACCATCATGGTCGGTCGGTCATGGTATTTAAAAATTATAAATACTTATATTTTTTTTTCATAAAATGCATTAAAGACATGTAGTAGTAGTACTAGACCTACATGTTTTTAATCGACTTAAAAGGTGGAGTTTCTATATTCAACTGTATATATTTTTTATTTATGTCCGTTGATTTCTGCGACAAATCTGGACTGATTTAAAAAATTCTTTCTTTAATCCAAAGATTATACTCCTGAAGTAGCCCCATTATCATCAAGTCAGAACTGATAATGGAATCTTTCGCTTTTTCTGGGTATTTTGTTTTTGTTTCACCTTTATTTATGAAAATAATATTTCTTGGTTTTTCTATAAATCCTTCTCTGTGCACGCCGTATGACTTTGGAACTCACTACCATCCTCAATACGCAACGCCTAGTCATTAGTCATCTTCAAGAACCTGATTAAATCCCAGTACCTATCATTATCAATCCTTTTTTTGTTTTTGTCCTTTTATACCTACTTATCTCGTTATTGTGAATGAAATAATTGTATATATGAATAATATTTATATATATATATAATATAATATGCAATATGTATATGTAAAAATAATATTGTTATATATTTTATACATTTATTTATATAATGTATACTATTATACGTACTTAGATGTCTATAAGGTACGCATATGATTATTTGCATATGCTTTATTAACTTGAGCGTTTTTTTAAGAAATGTATCTAATATTTCTTGCGCCAATAGCTACCGTCTTTTTTTTATTCACTACCCAAAAGCTGTCTCGAAGAGGATGCTTAAGCGATAAAATCGCCGTTTGTTCTACTTTGTAAGTAAGTAATATATGTATATATTTTTCTTGTGTGATACGATAAAGAGTAAATAATTAAAATAATTGAAACATAGCACGTCGTTATACATTGTCGAATAAAATGAATAATATAATACCAGTATAAAGTAGAATAATTTATTACAATTTGAATGCAAATACCATTTTGACATCTAATATTAATTCCATACCAATGCAAAATGTAATTAGTATGGCTCAGTTGTTTTAGCAAAATAAAGTTTCTTCTGTGATGTTTCTAATGATACCTTTCTATGCAGATGTTACAACGATATTGTACTACACAACAAAATATCACAATAAATTGTTGCTCGCTTGTCTCAGGTGTTAGCTGTAATGATAAGTATACTGAAAGCCTTTTGAAGACGTCGGATTTATTTAGAGTGATAAAGCTTTATTTTATAATACTGACATCACAAACAACCCTTTTTGATTTGTGTTCACAAATGTAGATTTAAACAGATACTGGCAATTACGTCAATATTTGACCCCATTGGCTTTTTTAAAATTATTTTCCAGGGTGGCATTGCCCTTTAAATAAGGCACATATATTGTTTTATATATGTATTTGCAAAGCTTCTTTCTCATCTTGGGGTGGGCATGGCCCACTTGGCTTCCGATCTTAAATAAGCCCAAGTTCGACCCTAACTTAGGCTCAATAAAATTCAATTGATTCGGAGTAAATTTCAATTCGGAGTAATTTTTGGGTATAATTAATTTTGATGTCATAAAAATTGATTTATCCTAGTTTTAGTCAGTAATGCCAACATTTTTATATTAGGTGACGTCTATAATACTATTCCTGTCTATAGACGATAGGTACCACATTCCATAAGGCGAACCATTAGTCTATTCATCATTCTAAAGGTCCTATAATTATCATTGATCATTTCGATCGAAATCATAAAGTTATCTAATACGCTTCTTTTTTACTTCTAATATTAAACTATATAAGACTTTCTAGCTATTCGTATTTCAAATAGAGAAAGTTCTCTATTTACCTGTTTTATCTATGGGAATCATTTGATTGTTCATTTGTAATATATAAACTTAAACTACTCAACTGATTTTACAAATTATTTCACTTATACCATATAAAACTATATTATCAGTGAGTATCATAGGCGGTTTATTTGTTTCGAAAATTTTATTTACCCGTGCGAAGCCAAGTCGGACTGCTAGTATATATATATATATATATATATATATATATATATATATATATATATATATATATATATATATATATATATATATATATATATATATAATATATATATATATATATATATATATATATATATATATATATATATATATATATATATATATATATATATATATATATATATATATATATATATATATATATATATATATATATATATATATATATATATATATATATATATATATATATATATATATATATATATATATATATATATATATATATATATATATATATATATATATATATATATATATATATATATATATATATATATATATATATATATATATATATATATATATATATATATATATATATATATATATATATATATATATATATATATATATATATATATATATATATATATATATATATATATATATATATATATATATATATATATATATATATATATATATATATATATATATATATATATATATATATATATATATATATATATATATATATATATATATATATATATGTATATAATATATATATATATATATATATATATATATATATATATATATATATATATATATATATATATATATATATATATATATTTTTTCTTCGCAATTAGTATTTGTTCCCACATTTTTTTTAATTTATTTATTCTACACAAAAAATTACAAACATATAATATATGTATATTAAATAAAGATGTACTACAAGCGAGCTTAACTCTGTAAGAGTTCTCTTCCAGCAAACCCTGAGTGGAAAGGGTGCATTAATACCAGCGGACAGTGTGCGTACAATAATAGGAGGAAACAGTATAGTTATTTCTATTATAAAATAATAAATATGTTGACATATATACAAAGTAACTTATACACATTGATATAATATTAATTTTATTACGATTAAAATTGTACGGTCAAAAAAGTGGGTGTCAAATAGCCTCTTCTGCAGTGATGTTGAGAACAATGAATGGACTCAATACTGAGGCGAGGAAGATAGTTCGGCGCATACATCTCCCTCGGTCTCTGTAACATTTATGCTTGGATTTCATATTTTAGTTGTATTACACTGGTTTAAGGTTACAAGTTTTTCAATCAAATTAGTCATTTCATATGTCATACAAATGTATTGACTAACTGAGGAGAGCTGGACACCCGACAAATTATTATTTGATTTTTATATTTAATCTACAACTACGAATTATCTCAATAGCGCGTTTTGGGAGATTGTTTTTGTATAAATATTTATCTCAAACAATAACACGTTCATGTATTATATTATACGGACAATAGAAATATGTGACTAAAGAATGAATTCACAAGAACGTATAAATTACTTTTTATTAAACTACTGAATTATATTTATTTAAATATTTTTTTTTAATTAATAGTGCCACCTAGTTGTTATTATTAATGTTAAATTTTATCTATATTTTGAGGGTAGAGTGCGAATTAAATGACTACTCTATGACAGTTTAAAGACTAATCAAACAATTTACAGTGATTCTCTGGTTTAAGCAAAAACAAATGTACAATTATAATTTTTAGTGTAAATTGATTTGTATTTTTAATAAGAATCTAAGAGTTACTTTTACATATAGATAAATAAACAAAATACATTCAACAGTAAGTACGTTTACGTTATTTATGTTAGTTTAAAATGGCTAGTTGCTGTGTGGTTCTGGCATAGAATGGGTCACTCCCTCCTTTCTCGTGGGTATCGAAAGAGGCTACTAAGGTACTTAATGGTTAAGGGATAGGCAGTAGTGTCTCTCTTAAAACACCAGCAAAGGCTAACTGCTGTTGCCAACCTTGAAATGGCAACTACTGGCTGTCGCCAATATTATTATAGGGGAAGCTTATGTTCAATAATGACAATTAACGACTGATATGATGATGCTCATGATACCCTTAACTACTGGCAAAGCCCAGGGAGAAAATTTGTCAGTAGTTAAAGGTATCAGGAGGTCTATATTTAGTCGTTGACAGTTAACAATTAATATGATAATGACCATGAATATAGTTGGCATAATTTATAAGATTAATTAGAATGTACTTTATATTTTTTCATTTTTATCAACATTATCTCAGCCATCCACTGCTGAACATAGGCCTCCTTCATAGACTGCCAAGGATCGGTCTTGAGCCACCTGCAATGTTTTTAGGCATTGATTTTATTAATTAAATAGATATTATCCAATTTACTTGTAATTGTATCATATCTATTTAAGGCAACAAAGACTTAAAAAAACAATAATTTCAGTAGATTTTCGTGAAATTATCAGCTTGTATATTTTCAGTCATATTATATATTCAGTGTATACCTTTGTCATATTATTTATATTTATAAACAACTTTTTGTAAAGTGACCACTAGCTTCAGTATAAAACTTTGTAGCTTTGCCCACATGAATGAGTACATAAAGAATCTTATGTACTAAGTTAAGATATAATCTACCTGTGCACCAAATTCCATTCATCTATCCATACGAATTTTCGCATTTATAGTATATATTAATATATAAAATAATATTTTTTTTATTAATAGGATAATAATAGAATTAACAGTTTACCAGAGAGAGACTTTGTAAAAAAGTCGTTTGCTTAGGCACTGGTCTGTCCCATTCGCATTTCTACCATGTAGGAGTTGTATTTGCATGGTTGTGTTTCGGTTTGAAGGGTGGGATATGGCAGTGAATTTACTGAGTACAGAGGAATAATGACTGAGTCCTCAGGAATGGCAACGCATGGGAGGTTTCAAGGGGCGATGGTTCCATCAGGTGGACTGTCGGCTTGTTTGCCATTCTAAGTTGTATAAAAAAAGTCCAACCTGCTTGTAATCATATTCAGGATGCCGGACTGGCGGATGCCGGATTCAGGATGATCAGACAGATTTTCTAGCAAAAACCGCATGGAGGTTAATTTGATAGCGTATAAGGCTAGCAATGTATTTTCAAATATATCATTGTTACTAATATTTTTTTAATAGATATTAAAATTATATACATACTCGTATATTCATTTGTATGTACACTCAAAATCGGGGTAATTTGTTTTAGAAACGTTTGTGTTTTTCAGTAATGTGTAAATAAATATAATTAATAATTATTCATAATACATAATACTTTACACTTTATTTTACATTTTTACTTACATAATAATTCATAATACAATTTAAATTGTAGAAATATAATTGTTGAATAAAGTTGATAAAGTAATTGAATTTTGTAAACAAAATAAAATAAAAAATAAATTACGTTCAATTCCAGGATGTACTAAGAGACGATTAAAGGAAAAAACCTAAACATAATAAGCAAGAGAGACATTACGCCCAGTCTTTTGAGAAGCATGATAATAATAGTGATGGGATATGTTATGATGATGATGAGCTTCTATTGCAGATACTATTATACCATACTTTAGATTTAAGTTTTGACATTATGTGGCAATGAAACAAGTCATGAAGTTGTAAAAAACTCTGGAATTAAAAATACAGGAACCACTAGTGAATAATGGAGTAATACAGTTTTATTATTAACTAAATAATTATTTATATTTAAATTTGGATGTAATAATATCCATTATTAGAATTTTCAATGCATCGAGCGCTGTAGCGGTATTTGACAATTGAGTTACTTTAATCTGAGTGCGAAAAAAGTGAGGATCGGGAAGCGAAATAAAAAAAAAAACACAATAGAAAGCCAAAGCTCCCTATTATGTTCCCAAACTACCCAGATAACTGCAGGTAGAAATTCTAAAACGCGCTTATAGAATTTTTGAAATTTTACGTATATATACAATTTTTTGGGATTATCAGCGGGCGTCCGTTTCTTCGCGTTGAACCAGTCTGGAAAAGCAGGAGCTGGCTTAATTCCTGTGCTTATCGGTAACCAACCTGAATTTGACCATAAACTACCTCCTTTGGTGATGAGTTGAGTATTTGGCACTGAGTGTATGCTCGACCGTCGCAACACGAGCGCCGAAGAAGTTTTGACGCCCTTTTAACAACGGATACATTCAAATGAGAATATTTGTTCTTATTAGACAAACTGTAAACAATTCATCTACATTATTTCTGAGATGAGTCTAAGAGCAGTAAAACTATTAAAGAAGATGTGAATACATACTAAACAAATATACTTTCATTTTTTTTAAACGACTTAGAATAGCAAACAAGCTGACGGCCTACTTGATGGAAAGTGGTAACCGTCACCTATAGACATGAGCATAACAGATTGTACTGTTTCGCCCATGATACCCCCATGTGTTGTTATTCCTAAGGATTAAGGTGTTATTCCTCTGTACCCTGTAAATTCACGCCATATCCCATCTTTCAAACCGAAACACAGCCATGCAAACACAACTGCTTCACGGTAGAAACACGAATGGGACAGAAGTACCCAAGCAATCGAATTTTGTACAAAGTCTCTCTCATATTTATTATATTAGTAAGGATTTGTGACACCGGTGGTTATAGGCATCACAAATTCTTATAGCAAACCGCTACGGGTGCACGGTGTATTTGTACAGAAATTTTTGCCAGATTTTACTATATATCGGCATACTTCCATGGCATAGCATCGATTTGCGCAAATAAGGGCCTTGATCTGATTCTTATTCTGGCCAATTTAGGAAACCACATTTACTAAATTGGCTCAATACAGAACATCTGGGAGGATAACCCAAACACCTAAGTTATCCTCCAAGATGTTCTGTATCGGGAATTTCAAAACACAGAGTATCTTAGTTTAAAAATCAGGAAATTTATGTGACTGGTACTTAATATTACTATATAGTAAATTTTGTTACAGTTGGCCAGTTATAGACAATAATAAATAGCTGTGGATATATCACATAGATAAGTGATACACATACCTACATATGAATACAAAATGTTTGTTAATATTGTGCGGGAATTGAACCCACTGCCAAGGGAAGATGAAGCATTGTATTAATCTGCTACAGTACCACGAATGTTTCGTATTGCTTCAAGCCTTTATGTAGGTCACCTATTATATAATTATTAAATAACATTCGCTCCAGTACACAATGTAGGTAATGTTCAAACATTTATTAGCCTCGTAACGTGATTATTGCAACGGCGCTCCGTTGCCTCCACAAAGAGCTGAGAAAATAATAGGTCATCTAAACGTTATATTGTTTTTTCGTAAATATTGTTTTTCATTTTCAAAAATATTGTATTTTAAAATGTCGCGTGTTATATTCTCGTAATATACTAGATGAAATATACATTAATATTTCTTTTTTTAAAAAATATATAATATTCATACATTATTCCCACAATGGCTTGATTGAACCTTTAAAAAATTACTAATGATTTAGATTTCAATTTGTATGCCACATTTTACATTATTTTATTTTCGTACAAGTTAGAGCATGCATGAATTAGATTTATACAATATTTCGATAATCTAAATCAACTTGCCACAAACTAAAATTCCATCCCAACCACTTGGATAAGTGGTGGTCCTTCGCTGTACGTTTTTTAAGTCACTTTCTTCCACGTACAATAACTTTTTAAAATCAACATTCACCAGCAGTATTTCCGAACCGATACAACATCATAATCTTCAAGAAAAAAACATATCCCTTATTAAAAGGCCGGCAGCACACCTGCGATGCCTCTGGTGTTGCGTGTGATCATGGGCGTTGATAGTCACTTACAATCAGGTGAGCCGCATGCTCGTTTGCCCTCTGTGTTATAAAAAAAATCTAGGATATGTAGAACATCCACTCTGTTAATCAAGTAATAAGATAAACTTATAGTTTATCTATTGAGTATTAAACTATATAAAAACCCGAGAAATATAACGATCTCACACTGCCATTTGAAGTCTATGTAAGTTTGTAGTAAATATTTTATAATTATTTGTTAATTACAATAAAATTGTCATCCACTAAAATTACTATACTCTTGAAATACGGTTTCTGTAATAAACAAATAAATATAAATAGGTACCTATTAGATGATATTCATTTATTAATTTATCGAGGTCCTCTTTTTCATTAATTTCTTTTTTAACATTATATTTCTAATAATTTGCTATTTTATTAAGTTTATGTATTTCCCTAACTATAACAACATTTATGGTGATATAGCGACGAAAATTATTATTACTTACTAGACTATTAATAAAATTAAAATTTATTTAGAAATTTTTTTAACAGAAAAATAAATATATGACATTTTTATGATAATTTTAGTAATTAAAAGTGTACATTATTTAATGTAAATTGATGCCATTTATGTTAACCACCGTGGGTGGTCTTGAAACAGCAACAGCGAATAACATAGTTGCGCGGATAAAATGCAACTTTTATTAGAAGCATCATAAATTTTCCAAATGGACTTTATTTGTAGTTTACAACTCCTGCGGTGACAAGTCGGCTATCACGCTAGTAACAATAGCAAGAAAAGTAGTTTGCTATAAAATTGCACTATAAAACTTTGAGCTGGTATTTGAAAAAAAAATAGGGAATAAAGAAATAATTTAATGAAGCACGAGTCTTGGGCAATAAATTTAAAATAGTAAGTCATAAAACAATTTCGAAAACAAAACTAAATAAACCAAAAAGAAACGTTATTCCTGAGAAATAATAAATAATACGATCAACAATAATTGACTTGCGCCTCACCAGGCTTCACATGCTTTTTTGTAAATAAAATTCATGTTACTTACTAATATTGTAGCTTTCTATAGGAATATGATATAGTAATATAATATATGATCATTACAAGAGACTTAACATGCTTCAAAAACATCGAATCTTTTCTTGTTATAATATTAGTTCAGATTAGTATTATACTTACTAAACAAAATATATATACATATATACCATACATGTAACTCAATGCTTACAAGTTTTTGTATATCGATAATTGAACATTTTTCAAAATTTAATTGACAATAGTTCAAACGAAAAATTATTTTTTTTTTAATCAAATACATTATATATTAATTAAAAAAAAAAGAAATATATGTAAGAAGTTTCATCATCCAAAAATAGACTGTCAGAGTCGGATGAATCTATTAAGATAAAGCAGATTTTGACGTGGGTATCTACTAAGAAAGAATTCCCCGAAATTCCCACTGGAATCGTCATTTCGTATGAGTCACGCCGCAGTAAACAAATACTTTTGTATTTAATTTATACTTATTTAATGCCAGCTTCTCAATAGTTAATACGTATATTTAAATTTTAATTTAACTACACCGTCTATAAAATTATAGGATACTATAATTTCTAGAAAAATCTATTCTAACGCTAACATATTTCCATAGGGCCCAAAATATCACGGTAATATTTGTGGTTTATTTTGCTAACCGTATCTCGATTACAAGTACCAGTAAGCGATACAGCGTACATTGTTTTGTTTAGTTTTACTATCGACTATTTATGTGCATAATTAAAACACTTTATACATATAAACGTAGCTCATTTTTATTCTGCAACAACAAGAACAACATTTTAGCGTTGGATTTTATGTTTAACTAGCTAGGTATTGCTCACAATTCCGCCTGCACGATGCTGTTAAGTTGAAAATTTCAGTAGGAATATAGGATAAAACAAAATAATCTATTCTTTTTTTAAGCGAATTAAAAAAGTTTTTATATTTGTTACATCACAACTTTGTCATTTATAAACCGATTTGGAAAGTTGTTTTTTATCAAAAAGGATATATTTACAAATCGGTTTCTTAGAAATTTTATTAAAATTCTTTCAGTTTAGGTTTTAAATTAAAGTAATTGGTTTTGGCTTAATTGAGGTCGGTTTTTTGTGGTTTTTCGCTAGTGTCATTTCTAATAGTGAAAGAATTTTAAAGCTACTTCCAAATGGAAGTTTCTTAAGTGATTTATTTCTGATGTGGCTTTTTTTTGGGAAACTTCTTATAATTAATTCATTGGCGTGTAAATGTTTACGAATAAGAATAAAGTCTCTTTTTTCGGAAAATAATTAACTTGATAAATCAGTTCGTTTGTTTTCTACATACAAACAAATATTTCTTTACAAGAATTGTAAGAATTTTTATATGTATACCAACAACCAGATTATCTAATAGGTAAGTATATAAATAATCTCCCTAACTTGTATAGCTGTTTTCTTTGCAGTTGGATGGAAAGATGTACGAGTATATTGAGTGACGGATGAGACTTCTGATTGATGGCTTTATACAGAACTTTATGCTTACATCTCCTTATTTTTGGATAAGAAGATAAGAATATGATTTTTATCTAGTACTTTTATTATTTTATTCATAAGGGGTTTCATTTGTTTTGTATCTAAAGGCGAGAGTTGGTGAAACTAGTGAAATTATTTCTTTATACTGTTTAAAATGGAAAAGAAACGTGCGGTTCATCTAATCCAGAAAGATAGACATAAATAACACCGCACTATTAATAAATATATACTGTAACGCCTGTGGTACCCCATCGGCTACTTCTAATTACATTGAGAGGGAGGGAAATATTGTTAGTAATGGAGTACACCGCTCCAATTACCCTATCATGCGATTCCTATGCGGTCCTTCCTGGAAACCATCATGATTGATTCCTGATGAATGGTCACGATAGGTCAACTGAAGTGATTTCATCTTTTTCTATCATCTGTCACTTATACTCCTCCAGTGTATACCGATAGCGCAGATGTGGCAACCGATCCATTTTTATCTCATTAGGAACTAACATGCTATGCTTCCAGACATAATAATTCAATCCATGTATATACATCTTATATGATTGTACTTTTAAATGTGTCAATATATATGTTATATATGTGTTCTAAGCAAATGGATTTTTTTATTAATATAGGTCTATATAATGTCTTTTTAAATTTATAAATGTTACTTTAAATAAGCCTTTTAGAGCACACTTTTATTTCAGTCGCCATCAAGCATAGATCAAATACCACATAGCAAGTAAAACCATTTCGTTCGGAAACATATTACAACAATATGTATGTATGTACTAAAGATTAAGTATATAATATAGTAGCATCCATATCGAATTGGACGCAATGTATGTTTCATCATAGGGATACTTCGTATAAAAATCATCTGCTTGAATAACTTAATCCCTTGTCCTACTAGCGTTTCTGCTGTGAAAAAGATGTGCTTTCGTAGCTGTTGTTTTGTCTTTCAGTTTAGCAATGAAATTTTCGAAAGCACAACACCATAGTCATCAGGAATAGCAATACATAAGTCGTGCAATAGACATAATAGTGTATTCTGTAATATTTGCCATTTTAAGCATTACAAAAATATTTTTAAATCAGCATCAACCAAGTGTTGTGTGAGTCTCTGTGTCCCGAGAAGACGTGTAGCGTTGCCACCGGCCGCAACTGCTGGCCATGCCGCGCGACAGCATTAACCTATAAAGTAAAGCGCCGCTCATAAGAGCTCTGCGCGCGTTGAACCGACTGTCAGATACAATCGAGCTATTTAATAGTTCTCTTTTTATGTAATTACAGTTGATAATATATAAATATGAATGTATGTGTATATATAAGTATTATTAATTATATATATTTTACATTATAAATTAACATAGTTGCATCACAGATAATATAACTATTATACTATTGAATTGGGTTAGTATCGGTAAAAATAGTGATAAGTATGGATATATAATAAATATATTTTATTTATTTAAACTTTATTGCATACAAATATTACATAAATAATAAATTATAACAATTTATTTTGAACAAGCGGACATTCTATAAGAGTTCTCTAATTATTATTATTAATTTATCATTATTTTTCGAGTTATTTTATGATTTACTTATTCAAGAGTACATAATTGGAAGTAATATCCATAGATGCATGTCATGGTCGGCTGATGTCGGTGATTAAAAATGAAAACTCGATGCATCGATGTGAGTCCGAATGGAACAGTATTCAATATC